ACTGCTTACGTTGCTTACTATACGTTATTCAGACTGTCGACAAGCTTAAAGCATTAAATGCGAAATATAGCGAGTATATCTGTGACAATAAATGACAGGTTATTAAAAATAAATTACATTCCACAAGAAGTTTTTTACTTTATCTTCCTGATAGAACTTCATTATAATTATACTCTTCGGATATAATAAAATCGTAACATCGTGACGAGGCGAAAATTGTCTGTCTATTTATGTGTGCTACGATTTCTCGAAACTGGCTTGATGAATTGGGATGAAAATATCACAAAATATATTGTTAAATATGGGTTAATATATAGTCCAAAGAAAGGTAAGGAAAATTTAACACCCTTTAAAGAAAAAAAAAGGATAAGAGAAAAGTGAAATAATATGACAACCTACTGAAGATTGTTATATTTCAAAACAGTTGGCGTGTCACCTGTATTGCCACACATGGCATATTGAACAATATTTACAAAATTACTTTATTTTAATTTTAATTTATAAATAATATAATAGATAGCGTAATGTACATACGCATATATCTTCATCTTATTGTTGTCGTTTGATTATCATTAATACGTGGCATTTAAAATGATACATAAGCACGAAGTCGCAAGTACAACTAGTAAGTATTACAATATACACAAATATATTATTGTAGAGTAATCGAAACGTGGCAGGACAATATAATCTGTATAAAAAGTAGCAGTTGTGGACGAATAAACTTTTTCCTTGTTAAATTTTGAACAAACTTTCTAATGGTTATTCGGTAACATCACAAAAGTTAGATTGATGTCTTTTATTATTAAATCCGTATAATATAATAAGTATGACAAAACACTGTCTAAAATTTCAGTAATTCAAATCAATTACAGTAATCTTGTATAGTTCTATAATAATATAAGTGAGATCTTTTTAGGTATCCCCCTGTATTTGGCGGCCTCTCTAGACTAGCGGTCTAGCACACTGCCTTGCTTTCGATGGTCGCGGGCTCGATTACTCGCTCGGTACAAAAATTTTTTAGTCATGAGTATGATAGTTTGTATCGGCCTGTCTGTTTTCTGTGTATATTATGTATATATTTACAAAAAAATATATTTCTATGTATTTATATCAGTTGTCCAGTACATATACAACGCCAGCTCAGCTTAGCTTGGGACTAGAATGGTGCTATGATATTTTTTAAATAAATAATATCATAACTAATTTCTTTTTCCCTCTTACTTCATTTCGCAAAGATTTTTGTACTTTGACTTTTGTAGCACCAATTTTTTTTAATAAATCCAACTATATAGATAAGGGTTTCTTAAAATATAATTTAAATATTTTCATTACAGACCCTAAATATATTATTATCCAGTTTATGTCGTATGTCATAAAAGTGACAAGTGCGTTTGCATTGCCTAGCAATGTCATGAACGACATTATCACGGCATCACATTGCAATTATCTTTTTGTTATCTATATTTTAAGTGTGTGGACGTGCTTGACATACAGATTTAATCTAGATACCTAATTGTGCCAATAACGATTTGTATCTAAATATCTACACGACTGTAACCGCAGACAGGGTAGGCAGTGACATTGTCAGCCGTCGTCATCGCAACAAGTACAATGCCTACTGTTCGCCGAGTAAATTTTTCATTTAAGATGACCTTAAAGTTTTCCTTCATTAATTTGTGTTAAAATATTGATATTTTTATCACTGAAGATTCAGTCAGAAATGTCAATATTCACATACATGACTGTTAGATAGGCTGTGTAGTTCGCGAAGAACTAGTTCGGAAGAGCGTTCCCTAATACAAACTATGTGAACTAGTTGAGATATCTATCGCTTGGTAGATCGGTTGATACAACGCAGTCTTGCTAAAAACGAACACATTTGCGGAAAACAAATATTTATAGGCTAGGTCGACCAATCTACTTACTGTCTCTCTCTAATTTGATTTGGGAGCGAACGAACATTTTTTTTATAAAAGCTGTGAACTAAATCAATCCTAATCGCAAACTATTATGCGCAGGACTAATTATAGAGCTAAATTATATAAAAGGCGCGAAAAGACTTTCACAGAGTAGGCTTCATGCACGTCTATGGTATCGTTAGTGTAATTTGTTAAAGTAATCATTACTCATTAGAAAGACTCCTTTTTACCTTTCTGTTTTATGTTAAATATACAATATTTAACGTTTTGTTTGTTACTCCACAAATACATTTACATAAAAAAGAGAATATAAAACGCACACGGTAGTCAGCGTACAAAAAACTTCTTGTAACAATTAGGCAATGGAGCAATAAAAATAACAAATTAAAGAATTATAAATATTTCATTATTATCATTAGAAAGGAATATGTATTCAAGTTTCGATTTTATTTAAATTAGACCAGTTATATTTGCATAAAACTGCCCGCAAATTCTTTTTTTTTAGGCGAATAGGCGATAGTCACAGACGCAATAGTACATTTATTTTCTTTATCCATAGATACTTGATGAAAACAAATAAAAGAGCAAGGAGCATATGCGGCGCATCTATTTAGTGTTACAATAAATTACTTCTATCAATTAGACAATGAAACAATAAAAATAATAGAAGAGCAATAAACGTTTCATTATTTATCATTACAATAGAACGTGATTTAAGTTTCGATTTTATTTTAATTAGAACAGACACATTTATGTGCGGACGCGCCTAGTTCTATTATTTAATCAGTAGACGAGTGTGACAGAAGTGTAAAACATCTGTTTTTAAAATTATATTTCTGGTAAATGTATTATTATGTGCTTTGAGTCTAGTCGACGTAATAAATGTTTCGCCTACATAAAAACCAACAGACGTTAAAATTTTACTTATAAATACGTGTCTAATAAATAGATGTCTAAGAACTGACGATTATGTGCAATGGGGCGTCAGGGACTTCTTTTCTAATGATAAAAAATCTTACATTACTTAATGTTATGTTATTTTGACGAGCAGCGAGCAGGTGTATATTTACGAGTGAAAAAGTGATTCTTTAGTACTAATATTAGTACCAATAACTCATGAGAAAAAGCCTAATAAATCACATAACGTCCGCAGTTGCCTGTTGACGAGTTTCACAGCGCTTTAAACGGCTTCATCGGATGATTGGCTGTATCATGACATCAAGGAAACGATATTTTATTAGATTTAACGATAACTATCAACACTGGTAGTGTAAAGATTTTTTGTTTATATTCATTCAGTTGTCGAAGATTTATGAGTTAAAGGGATAATTATAATAGTATCGGCACAATGGTATGAATACCGGCAAACAAGTTGAGCACATTTTATTACCACGTGACCTGCGCAGTAACAATTTTACGTACAAAAGCGTTTACTGCGCAAGTCTCATTGTCTATTATTTTGTTCAAGTTGTTTGCCGCAATAGTACCAATTTGAAAATTACATAAATGAATTGTCCTCGAATGTTTTTACCTAAAGGAGATAGTTGACAATTTGCATTTGGTTCTATAAAAATATGAGCATATATATATTTATACATACAAACTTTAACGTAAATTTCCTACTCGGAAGAGTATTTTTGTACGCGTAGTTCTTATAAAAAGGATGTACAGCTTTCAGCACACGTATTAATTTAATTCAATATTGTCGCATGTGTTAGGATATACAACATATATTTTTGTACCAATAAAATTATCTTGAAGTCTTTGAAAAAAGGTATACCTAGAATTGTTATCATTTACCGAAATCGATTTTTATCATACTTATCGCACCCATATTTTTATGGGTCCATTTTTAATTCAATTGATTGAATTAACCTTAAGTGTTGCAGAAATAAAAATAAATGAAACAGAAATGTAAATAAATCGCTAATCCGTTATATACTTGTCTATATCTTCTATCAAATTGTTTATGAACATGTCTCGTTATGTCTAAATATAATTTATTAGTACATTATAGCCTGCATTAAAAGAATGTATATAAATTTTATGATTATGATGTATGGCTAGTGACTTCGATCTTTCCATGCAAACAGATATTACAGCGTATTACAGGCACGGCCCCACATAATTTTTAAACATTTCCGTGTACGGTTTTACGGTCAGTAGCTGGTTTTAATGAAATTTCAAACACGTCGGTGCGAGCGGTGTTGTAAAACTCGTATACACGTAAACGTGCTAGTTTTGTAGTACCATAAATCCTCAACTAAAAAGAAATAATGGTAGTTTCTTGATAAACAAAAGAGCATAATATTTAACACACCGGCTTGTGTAATATGAAATATGTGCGATCAACAAAGTTCAATATAAATTTATAGCATAAATTCTACGAAAAAGCAAATTCTACTAAGTTCACACCTGGCCATAAAATAAAGAATTTATATACAAAACTAATAATTTAAATATGAAACACATAACAGACATGACCTTCTGGTAAATATATCTCCTGATTATTATTTTAGATTATAATTAATTATATAGAAAGTCGTGCACGGAATGCAGTGCTTATGCTATGCCACCTATAACTGATTACAAATGAAATCAAAACATATTTATCATATAAACAACACTCTTTTACAATAATCTTACTGTTACACTACTACAAAATGTTTATAATCAAAATACAAAATCAATTGCACTACTAGAGAAATTCATTGTTATTTTTATAAAGCAGAAACCGAGATAGAAGAAACAAGGATGTTAAATGGTATTTTTTTAGATTAAATTTTTTTGGAAAAAATTATATTTGTACACTTGTAATAAATTTAGAGTATATTTACTATATAATAGACGGCCCTGTAAGCACATAAAGTTATCATGTTTTTTAGTACACACTAACTGTACTTGAAAATATTTTTGATGTTGTCTTTGAGTAAAAAAACATATTTTTTCTGTCTAAATCTGGTTAAGTTACTGTTAAAATTCTTCAAGACTCACCATTTCCTTCTTCAAGTAGGTGAGTTGGGAGTCCAGGTCGGTGGGCGGGTTCTCACTGACAGTGTTCACATCCTGCACTTCCGGCTCCCCGTCTGCGAAGCCGCTTAAACTCTTCGGCAAGGGCGGCAGACCTTGTAGTGACATCGTGCTGATTGCGCGAAACTGTTTGCGTAATCTGTGGGTAGAAAATAATTTAAGAATTTGTTCCTTAAATAATAAGAACCCGGGGCGTTTCACACAACGCCATCCAATCCCAAACTAATCATAACCTGTGTTGAGTGTAATATACGAGTCATAAAAATACTTAAATATGTTTTTAAATACATACACAATATTCACATGTTTCAATCGTGCAACGTATCGAAGCCGGGACCGTAAGGAGTAAGGCGGTGTGCTAAACCGCTAAACCACCGACGTGAAATAATCGTAACAATGTTAGATTATATATAGAACGAAAACAGGAGTTTTTTTATGTATGCTTACCTATTACCCGTAACATCTTCTGCTTTTTTGAGATAAAAGATAGCCTATGTCTCTCCTCGTGATACTATCTTCAGGAGATATTTCATTAAGACTCGTTCAGTTGTTTAGTCGTAAAAAGGTAAATAGATAGACAGATACACCTCCGCATTTATAATATTAGTATGGATAATGGAATGGTTCTCCCCTTCGGTAATGATATACGCCGTCAAGATACAAATTTACCAATTTACAAATTACAGGGGGGAATATGTATGTATGTATGTATATGTAATATTTTTGAGCGTTATCTAGACTCAAATCAAGCAGAAGTTATGCCATATAGGTACAGCAGAAATGATAGATTTATTGACACATACATTTTTGGAAATACACTTTCTAATACATTAAAAACCAGCGCTTGCCTTTCGGTTTGGCATTGAAATTTTATCGATTTTATTTACTTGTCTCCCCATTTTGGGTTATAAAACGGACACACCTTACTTGCGATGTTCTATGTTTGATTCTAGCATGACACAGATATTTGTATTCATGAGTATGAGTGTTTATCTCTGGGTAGTTGTTATGTATTTTAGAAAAAAGAATTGAGGTATTTCTATTTGGTGTTTTTTATACAAGCTTTGCTTAGATTAGAACTAGATGGAGCTGTATGAATTGTACTGGGTTATTATAGTAACATATTAATATTAATTTAAAATTTCAGATTAATGTTAGTCTGGAATTCCCGGCGTACATAATACGATAACTTATTTCAAGAATTACTTAAAGGAAAACAGGAAAGACTGCTATGTTATTTATATATACACCTAATTACACAACCATCACCTGTAACTTACAGAATTCAAACATTATAATGATAATTGACGGCCTCGGTGGTCTAGCGGTCTAGACACTGCTTTACTTCCGATAGTCGCGGGTTCGATTCCTCTCATGGAGACCACCTTACTTGCGAGTCAGAGTTCGATTCTAGCACGATAAAAACTTGTATTCATGAATATTATTGTTTGAATTGGTCTGGGTGTTTCCAATATATATTATGTAAGTATTTACAAAAAAAAGAACTTCTATCAGTTGTCTGTATTATGGGTATACAAGCTCTGCTTAGGACTAAATACCATTATGTCAATTATTTTTATTATAATGTTAGTCCAGGTGTATTATTATTATCTATAATGGAAGGATAGGATTCGAAAAGGATTTCGAATCCTATCATCTGTGTGATATGGAGTAATCCAACAATTTTATATCATCACATATTAATCAGATAATTAAATATTATAGTCAAAATACGCCAACATTAGCTAAAAACAAGTACTTCTTTCCTGAATGTTACTTATTTCGTAAAAGAATTGAATATAAAAATTAATTTTAAAATATGTCGAATAGACTAACTCTTTCTTGATTACAAACCCTTAAAACTGAGCCACAGAACGGGTAATAATAAATCTTAACTAAATTAACGTCAGGTCCTAGAATTACTAGATATTTTCGTTAGCTACTAATTGTACTATAAGGATTAATTTAATTATTAAGGATTATAATATATTGTAAGTAAACCAAAATATAAGAATATAATACTAGATATCTTAGGCTACAAAATACAAAGCCCTAAATAATCTGTTTATAACTTCTTTACGGTGCTTAAATTGTTTCAAAAACATTAGTATTGAACTATAGTTTGAGCTCACACGTCTTATAATTATTGTAATGAATAGGAAGTGTGGTAATGTGGTTCAGTCAACCTAAAAATTACCACATTTATATCGACAAGCGGGACAAATTAAATAACCGGGTTAAAACGAGTTAGGTGAACTTTAGTCATAAACTGTCGGACAATTAAAATATCTGTGCTGCAGTAAAATTAAAAAAGAAATTAAGTGCCATAAATGTTATTATTACACCCACCTAGATTTTAAGTCATCATCTAATATGTAAGCATACGCTTGATCATATTCTTCATCAATGTCCACATTACCACTAGTCACAGAAGACATCGCATAATTTTTTTCCGAATCGTCCGAATCACAATTTGCATTAATCTCTAATTCCTTTGAGTCTAACATTTCAGGCACATTTGATTGAGAATGCATAGTTTGCAATTCGTATATCAACATCTCATGGTTATTCATATCCTTCATAATCTCCGGTGAATCGTTACCGTTGTGGAGATTCTCAGAATCCTTTCCTTTATCTATAACAGCATTAGCTTCGTTTTTATTGATGTTTCTACTCGCAAGAATTTCTGAAATTAACATTTCTGTGACGCGTGATGTTTTTCGTTCTAGTGAGTTGTTATTTTTATTTGCGTTTTCGTCAGGATTAGTACATTTAAGGGCGTTCTGTGTATCAATGGGGTTATTGACTTGTTTCGATGGACTGTTACGTAATCTGTCATCGAATTCTTGAAATTCTTCCACTGTAGCATAGGGTGCTTCTGACATAGGGCTTTGTGGAGGTTTCGCATCTATTGGTGACGAATATGGACTTATTTCTGGCGATTGCATAGTACTATCATTCTCTAAAGAATTTAACTGTACAGGTAAAGGTTTCATTGGTTTTAACATAGGTTTAGGAGATAAAGGAGGTGGAGGAGCTTTCCTCAGAGGCAAAGTTTTCTCAGCGAAACTGGATGACTTTAAAACTTTACATTTTGCATCTTGATCCAATTTATTTGATGTGGATAGTGACCGTACTAAGATTTGTTTACATGTTTTAACCGCTTTGGAATTCAATGATTCATTTGACCTTTTGTTTGATGCCGGTGTCGGCATAGGGCTACTGTCACTCGAACTTCTTCTAGAGTTTTGGCCACTAGATTTTTTCTCATCAGACGAAGAACTCCTATCGCTAATAACATCTCTAATGAATGACTTAACGCGCGCCAAACCATTTTGTTTTGGTGATACGGTCGGCTTACTAGTTTTAATATTTCTATCCAATGTTTTGGATTTCGTGGAAACACTTTGTTGTTCTTGTCTTGGTAAAGTGCGAGATTTTGAGAGGTTGGCCTTCGACTCGGCGACAGCCTTCCTCGTTTTGGCTAGAGCCTCTGCCACCACACTTTGGTTAGGTCGCGGTGGTACAGGTGGCGGTCCTTTAAGTTTACTGCTCTTCATGGGTTGCGTGTTAGTCTGTACCATCAGCATTTTTAAGCGAAGAGGCACTCGTACGATACTATAAGAGGAGCGTTATAGTATAAGGAGCGCGTTTACACCAGCACTGCGTAATTCATAACACTCGCGAGCGCGTGACTCATGTTCGACGCGGCCGTCCCCGCGAGAGCGCGACTATGACTGCTTTACGTTAGGTGCCTGCCTATCCTATCGCTGCTACACCGGCTCACCGCCAACTTTACTTGTCTGTCGCATTGCACTGTATCCCCTTCGTAAGTTTACCTCCGTCAATCACTTATAATTCTATCACGCTGTTGTGTATATCTCCGAGTTTACTGTAGCCCACAGCTGAACAATGTGTTGACCCACACTTTTAATGATGTAAAAGTGATTGTTTACTATGAGAATGAATGCAATGTTGATTACCGGTCCATGGAGCACGCGACATGGAGCGGCTATTGTTGCCAGCTTTGAAAGCACTTTCTGGCCTATTGTTTCATAGTAACCAACTTGTTAGATACCCTCAGCTGGTGTATAGTTATATTTTTAATATAATATTTTACAACCTTCAATTAAGTAGTTCATGTTACTTAACTATACCAATTATATTTAGTTTTTACTATAAAATAAAAATCTGATAGGTGGACATAATTTAATTCTGAAACCAGTAATTTGAAATATGAGACTTGAAACTTAATACAAATAAATACATAAACAATAACAAAAAGGTAAGTAAAAGTACCAACTGAACAATATTGTATAAAAATGCATCAGACATTCACTTGATGGCTTTTTTAGCATAAATTTGTCACAACATTGAGTGATTTAGGTTTAATCATACTTGATCAGTCAGAGGTTAATAAATGGTGGGATGCTGACAACATAACTACAGAAATAAAATAATAATTGGAAAGATTAAAACTGGGAGAGCTGGATTAAGCTGCAGATGCATTATATCTACAGATTATGACTATCTAAGAGCATTAAAAATTTTATTAAAATAATTTTAGTTTAATAAAATAGATAATTCAATATTTACTACTACTATTGACAGATAGATTATATAAATTCATCTATCAAAAGATAAACCTTATTAAAATCCTATTCTTGTTTATATGCTACAACTCTGAATAACACACAGCCATAGTTTCATCCACTAAGCAGTGCTTCAAATATAGGTAGTAGAGAATGGAGAGACATACTCTCTATATTTATTATTTTTGTAAATATAATCATTGGGCACTGTGGGACTCCTTGAAGTTGTCACTGTAGCCGGGATGGCTATTATTACAGTACAGTAGTAGGACAGTATTATTATCAATATACATAGAACACAGACCAATATAAACAGTTATATTGTTGAATACAAATTGTGTTGTATGAGGATTGAAACAGCAATCATTTATCTATTTATAATTTAAGAATAGGCTCAAAACATGTTATATAAGAGATGTATGTATATCAGCTTATGTCACATTTTATATTATAGTACCTTTTACCAATACATACATTTACCATTAACTATAAAAGATCAGAGATAATCATATACTTAGACAATTAAATAGCAAGGACATTTTTAGATGAATAAACATATTTTGAATATAATGTTAGGTATAATGAATGTTATCATAAATACTATATATTGGAGTTTGTATGTAGACAGTTTTTAAACTGCAATGGCAAAGAAGCTAGAGCATTCCTATCCGAGTGTTCACCAAGGCCAGTAATACAACTGTGCCTTTTATATGCATGAAGAAAATGAATATGTAATATAGTACTTACCAATTTACTTGTTATTAAACTTCCAATCTTGTCTACACATAGGACACTGTTGCTGAGGCTGTGAATGCAACCACTTCACGATGCAGTGGATGTGGAAGCAATGTGAGCAGGCGCCCCACACCAAGGGACAATCGTCACCAGGTAGCTTGCAGTCTGGGCAACAACTATCAAACGGCATACGACATATACCACAGTTCTCGTCGTTCGCTTCCCAACGCCAAGTTGCTACTCCTGTCCAACCTATGTATTAAATAAAAAAATAACAATGATTACTATAACCACTATATTATATGTTAAACATATTCATAATAATATTGGGAGGAATTTACTTTTAATTGTTACTTTCATGACACAATCCCGATAGTCGTTAGATAACTTCGATAACAGATTATATACGCCAAATCAATTCAATTATTAGTGCTTGTAAGATTCTTGAGCAAAATCATTAGGAAAAGCCAGTAATTACGGAAGTATTTTTTAAAAAAGAAGGAAATTTTATTTTTATTATTTAATAATAAGACCGTAAACAAAGAATTCAAGACCGATGACATAGACTGACATAAATGAGAGTGACTTGAACTGACACTAACCGCCGACCGGTGGGACTGACATTGAATGACAAACAGTGTTTCCAATTGTAGTGTGGATGAAATGTTGTTGCTATTTTCAGAAAGTATTTAGTGATCTTTTTCAAAATTTATATTTAGTTTTAGTACAACAACACGGCGATACATAAAATGAACTTTTTTTAATGGAAAAACCCATTACCTAGTGCTAGTTCTTTAACTTTAATAATAGCTCTTCAAGCATATTATATATAACTCTAAATTAAATATCACGAATATTTAAAATAATCGTGGAATACAAAATTGCATGAAATACAATTAGTTAAATACATTACAGATATTCCAAGTTATATTTTTGTTTATTTAATTGTCAGCGGCGCGGCGGATTTGTGCACACATATGACAACACTCTACATAGGTTAATTAATTTTATAGAAAAAGAGAGAGTTTATAATCTGTGGATGAAGTGTTGATTACAGTGACGTTTAATAAAATTGTCCAGATAAAATTATTTTGTCGTAGAACTATTTACAATTTTTCATCAATTATATTACGATTTAATAATCTGTTGCAAATTATTATTTATTTTTAAAATTGTTTGAAAAATTGCAACAATGAGCACTTTTGATTCTAAATACGATGTAAGTATTTTCAGGGCTAGGCTAAAATAAAAATATATCAAAGTAACACTATGATCAATCATATGATTTATTTACTTATTTCATATGTTCAACATTTTATTTGTTGTCTTTATTTCTTTAATAATATAATAATTCAAATTAAGGATCTTAATCAAAAGATTATTTCTAATGTTTACCTATTTGTTGTCACAATATGAAGACTGTCGTGTTGGAAGTGGATATACACTTAGTCATAGAATTACGAGGAATATAATCTAACCTGTGTGTAACGTAATGACATTTTTTACACATTAAGCCAATTTATCTAATATATAACAGATAGAGATAAAATGTAAAAATCAACAGCATTTGTTTACAATATGTTTATAAAATCAAATTTTAAGTGCCCCCGGCAATATCATAAATTACTTGTTAATTGCCTGGGGCCATCTGGCACTTACATTTCACCTGTGCTTAATTATTAATACTATAAAACTGAATGTTTTTAAAAAGAATAGCACTACGAAAATCAGTTCATGTGACATCCATGCTACCACTCATGCATTGCCACTCTAGAGCACTCAGCTCTTATCCTGTAATTTCACTGCATAATCTTACCCTATAATGAACAGCAGCAGCAGCAGCTTACAAGGCACACTACTCATATAGAAAACTATATAATAATAATTAACCTGTTAACCAGGGAATTCCTTTTTTAATTACGCAGCATATAATGGGCACTGTCTCTCACTATGACGTTTCAGTATGTCAGCACACTATAATTTAATATATATATTTTTGATATGAAATATTCCACCCGATCCAGGTTCCAGGGCGCAGCAGAAATTTAGAAAATGTAGGTATGCATATGTCCTACATGTACACAAAAGTTTAACATTTGACGTATTTATATGTCCCACTCGGTTAACAGGTTAATTGGATAATATAAAAAATCTTACCACATATATATTTTTTTATTTAATATGATATTATCGCAGGATACAAAGTATTTGGTTTGTTACCAGTAGAATTTGCTAGGATGAGCATGATGTCAGCTCTTCTTCTTATGGATGATAATGGAATGGTGTACCCACCTGCGCTAACAGTTTATACTGACAGGGCACCAGTGGTTTATGATAAAATGAACATGAAGTCAGGTCAGTTAGCCCATCATAGTAAATATAGCAAGAATTGTATCACAATGGTTTTAGGGGAACCGCATGGAGGTCAACCTGATATGGTACATTGCTAGCAATGGTGTTATTAGTCCACTTTCTTAATTAACCCCTTTCCCCCCATGAAGTCAGGTCAGTTAACACATTGTGGTTAATTCACCAGGAATGATCCAATATGGTTTGTATGGGTCAGCATGGAGGGACAGTACAGTGGGTTGTAGTTGGTCATCATAAGCATTCCATTACTATACATATAAATAGAAAAAATCTTGGGATCTTGACTTTTTTTGGGAGTTCCCTGTGTTAAGATCCCGTGATTTTTACTAATTGTATGTATAAATAATGAAGCCATCAAATTTAAAACAGTATATCCCATTACTAATTTAAAAATAGCAGACAAACCTATCCCCACAGTGTGTTGTATTTGTATTTGTTTTATTTTCAGATGTACCCAGCGGGTGATGTGGGTGTGGTTGAAGGGGAAATGAACATACCCTCTCAGGGTACGCCATCAGGTGATCCCATGGAATTTAACACTCTTGATGAACCCATCAAGGAAACATTTGTGAGTTTATATTGATTATGTTTATACAGTTGTTTTCTTGAATTGCATATAATTTTCTATTTTGTTTATTTTATTTAACCCAGTTATATAGGAATTAATGAAATTTTATTTTTTCACTGAAATTAATGAGAAATTTCGACCAAACCAATTACATAAATGGTGCTTACCGTTTTAGTGCTACAAAGCGCTATTGCCCCGCTTATCAATTTTTGCTTTGCAAAACCTAATATTGCTATTTTAACAGGTTGTTTACTGCTTATATCTATACATTGTACAACTACATGTTTAATGTCTTAGTCTATTAAATTTGCATTGCAATAGTATACAGATAATTATTGATTATGCTTTTTATATTATCAAGATTGTATTTATCCATATATATGTATATTGTTTCGTGTGTAGTGATTTTAACTATAGTCTCTTTTATGACATAGAACAAGATAATAATGATAACTTTATTCATCCTAGTCTGATGTTGTCCATATTAGGCTATGGTATTCTATAGTTGACAATCAACTTCATAATAAGACTACAATTTTTTTATTTAACAATTTTAAATTATTAATGAATGACATCTTGACATTCATAAGTGGCTAAAATGTTCTACATGAATAAATGATTTTTTAATTTAAATTTGAAGGATTGTCTATATTTTAGTATTTAAATATTCAATAAATTAGTAATATTAACGGTAGTTCTGGTAGTGGTATAAACAAAATGAGCAACTTGAAAATAATTTTCCTTAGTATGTTGAATTTTTTCGAGTGATTTGGATGCCAGAAACAAAATCAAGTTGTTTGTTCAAATTTCACAGTATATTTTGTATGTAATCATTTCTTTATAATAAAAGTTTAGTGTTATAGTTATGTGTTTAGTCTTATAGTTGTTATAGTTCTATTTTTTTATTTAACATAATATTTTCAATTTTAGATGCGCGACCTCAGGGCCGTTGGAAATAAGTTTTACCATGTTCTAATACCTAGAGAAAAGACTAGCTTATTAAAAGAATGTGAGTTTTTTAATCTTCATTAGAACTAAGGCTATTTTATATTTCCTGCTACTGTGTTTTTTTAATCAATTTTGCTATATATAATATATGTATGTCTATTATATTTATAAATTTTCGTACTAGGGCTACCTAAATTATGGGAATATATTGTGATTAAATAAATAAATAGCTGAACAGATCAGAATGAAAATAGTGATAAGGAAGTTATATAGTACTTTAGCCATTTGTCTAAATCACCATAACTATTGAAGTCCTATACAGAAACTGATATAAAATTAAAATGAAAAAATGTTTATTTCTTTAAAAACAATTCAGTTACAATAACATAGTGTTGGGATGACCTAGTAAGCATAGAAATACCTGTGTCAGGTACATCCTGCTCTTCCATATGCTTTGTCATATGTGTTTGTTTTCTTTTTTTAGAAACTAGTTTTATAAGTTACACTATTACAATAAAAATAACCCAGGACAATTCTCATAGTACCTAGTCCGAAACTAAGCAGAGCATGTAATGTAAATAATAAATACATAGATTGTATTTATTATTTACATTACATGTAAATGATAAATACATACACAATAAGCAAACTCCCAGACCAATAGATAGGATCATCCTCATAAATACTGTTATTTGTATTGTGTGAAAATCAAACCAGCCAATGTCAGACCCATCAAAATTAATTTGTTTAATGAAGGTATAATGTAATCTAATAACACACTTGCTATTTGAAGCATACACAGTGATTATTATATAAATTATATGAAGTCATGGAAATTGTTATGTTAAAAGTAAATAATTCGTTTGTGACAATGTTGATTGTATTATTTTTCAGGGGACCTCTGGGGCCCATTGCTACTATGTACGTTAATGGCAACCATCCTCCAAGGGTCAACACAACGGGCAGACAACTCAAATGACGGAGGGCCAGAGTTTGCAGAAGTATTTGTCCTAGTATGGATAGGGGCAGCTATTGTTACTATTAATTCCAAACTACTGGGTGGCAATATGTAAGTATCTAATAAAGTTTTAATTGATAAGTTTCAGCTTTTTTTATGATAGTAAATGGTAAATTAGCTGATAGTAAGTGTTTACCATTTGATGCTCATGGTACTCCTCTACTGGATGAGCAAGGCGCTTCTAGCCCTTTTCAAGATATTCTATGTATTTCAATATGTCTATTATTTATCGTATCTCACGTATTACCGTAGTAGATATTATTAAAGTCTACGCTTTAAAAAGTGTTATGTCCGTTTTTAGTGATACAGGCTATCGGTTATCTATCTGCATGTTTGTTCAAATTAGATCTATCTAGACGACATAAATTAATAAGGATGAAATCTATTTTCCAGCTCATTCTTCCAATCAGTATGTGTGCTGGGTTACTGTTTATTTCCGGTAGCGCTGTCGTTGATTGTCTGTCGGTTGATACTATTCGCCACGCAGACAACCTTCCTGTTTTTCCTGAGACTGGTCTTATCAATGGCCGGCTTCGTTTGGGCCACATTTGGTAAGTAAACACGTTGATTGATTTTATTTAATATAACAATTGAACGTTAATGGAAGCGGATCGCGGATTTGTCTCTGCTTACAGAGATCCGCGAGAATATACGAGTCTACGACAAATATCTATACAGTCTTATTCTGAGCTTACCTTTTATTGTTCTCTTAATTTTGGTCTGTTTTCCTTTGTTTTGTGTGATTGGAATAGCACACAAGCAGACGACCCACCTGATGGTAAGTGGCAACCGTTAGATATATACATGAACAGCGTGTAGCTTTACATAGTTTAAAAAAAAGTCGCCACTGCTGTCTTTTCACTTATATCTTTTAAATTACGCAATGGATTTTAATGCAATTTTCAGTAATGGATAGAGTGATTCAAGGGGAAGGTTATATGTATAATACATGCGTTTTATAATAGTATAGAACAATAGTAATGTATCTCTGCAAAACCCCTACTTTGCCTACTGGTCGCTAGTAGGCTATAAATTTCACGCGGTAAAAACCGTGGGCACAGCTAGTATTGTACTCTACCATTAAAATAGTATATATATACAATATATATACTGTATAGGTATTATTTCCATTCCGCTAACTACTCGATAATAAAATAAAAGGTAATTAAGTAATTATTTAAATTTTCAGCGGCAACGAAATTCTTGGGCGACAGTCAACCTCCAGGCAAAAAGGCACTCGCTGTATATCCTATATGCCTGTTCTACTTCATCCTGTCTTGGCTGGTCGTCTCACACAGCAACGTGTAAACTGCACAACCACACATGAACATACTCAGTGTATTTATACTTGTGATAAAGACTTTTTTAGTGTAATTTTGTGAATAAATGTTAGATAAGATAGCGATGTATGATAGTCACTTATAGCCGAATAATCGAAAATTCGATAATCTTGCAATGTTTTTGAATATTTATTTATTAATTCTTAAAAATAAGTCTAGTGTTGAATTTAATAGTTGAATTACAGAATTATTGATCTAAAATAATTATGTCAAATCTAAACAGTGGCCAAATATTTATTTAAATCTTAGTAATATTGCATAACTTTCATAACGTGCGGATTTTTTTACAGGGAGGGACAGGAAACAATTAATTATATATATATTAGATTTACTTGGACAGTATGACCCGTAACTCAAATTATAATATTGAAGAATTTAGAGAATATAAAATGAATAAATAAAATAATAATAATAATTTCCAAATTTAAGTACAGTATTTATTATATTCAATATGTATTTAGTCATCACTGCGAAACAATCCAAAATTAATCGATTGTTTATGTTATTGATTATTACACTTTTATATATTTGGATTGGTGGTTAATAAAGTTGGCATACCTGGTTTTGGTTATATTGGCCTATTAGTATTGGATATATTCTTCTTTACATAATATAAAACAAAGTCGACCCCGCTGTTCGCTTATATCTTTTAAATTACGCAACGAATTTTAATGCCATTTTTAGCAATAGAGTGATTCAAATGGAAGGTTTATGTATATAATACATGCTTGTTATAGTATAGAACAAGCCTAGAAAGTTTTGTAATACATCCGTGCGAAGTCGGTACGGTTCACTAGTAATTTATAATTCTAATAATAATGCGATGTCTAATTACTTACACTGTATAGTGTGTGCACGGTTGTAGGTTGACTATACCTAATAATCGAATGACCCTATTCGTTTTACACAAGAATTGAATTATTCGATAATTTTTAGTAACAATCACACATCGCTAAGTTAAGGCTGTTTGTAAATTTATCGACTAGTATTCGTCACTCGTTCGAATATGTAAGTAAATTGTAATCGAGTCATTTTTAATCAATATTATTTTGTTACTTCGTGTTACTCTATTTATTAATGCAATTGGGACATTCCAATGTTATATAGTATTTCCATTATTCCGAATTGTAAGGTTACTTCTGCTCTTATCTCCGAGTTTGTAGTGTTGGAAAAAATAATTATGATACAATGGGGTTGATTCCGAAATGTCATTCTTTAAATTATCGTCTTTAAACGTTACAAAATTTATACCATTTGCGATTATTATATTTCAGAATTCGTTTTATAATGTCAGTTTGACAACCTCGGTAGTCTAGCAGTTTACCACACCTCTATTCCGATGGTCACGGGTTCTTTTGTTATTAATTATACATGATAAAAACATTTGTATACATGAGTATGATTTTTTCTATTCGTCTGGGTATATGCTGTGTATATTATAAAAATAATAATAATAACCCTGGACAATCCACACAGTCATCTACTTCCAAGCTAAGCCAAACTTATGTTATGGGTACAACTGATATAAATACTTATATTTGTTTTTTAGTACCAGTATTATAAGCTTTGCGTACATTTGGACTAGTTGCCGCATTATTGTTATTAGTTATGCTTTAACTAGTATCATCAGTAGTATATTTAATTTTAAAGACTGCTATAAAGTTCAGCCCAGGCGACTGACACTCCTGTGTCAAAATAAGCACAATTTAATTACATACTTAATACAAATCTGTAGTGAATCGCCGGCGAACACTACCAAGACAATGAAAAGTCGTTTGTCTGCGTGAGCCCTAAAGAATGTAATTTCGGAATGTACCCAAAATCCCATTGTACACAAGGAGATCAAAAGGATCACGTGATCACCCATGTTGTCCAAAAATGGATGTAATAAAGGATGCATTTTGTATATAGTATTAATTAAAAGACTATTTTCCGTCTATTTGCATTGTTTTATTTAAATCTTTTAAAAATATTTAATATGTATCTAAAAATACAGTTATAGCAATTTGAGGGCGTATTTGCATTACAATCTGTTAGTCAACTGGACTAGTTTACATATTCCCTCAAATATCAATACAATATTTATTTATTTTAGGGCTTATTCCATAATTGTATATGATCGATCATATTATGTATACCTTCTAGGTATAAATGCAAAGTCATCTCTATTGGTTATCATAGTATACACAATAGTAAAACTGATAGCTTTTAAAAGTGCATCAGTTGCCACATAGTTTAATAGACTTAGATATATCATCATATTATATATGGTTTTATATATGTATATGATAATCGTCCTCTTAAAATTCTACGTTAATCATATTTTGACGTCGAAGTTATTTTCTCACTATTAACGAGATATGGTATTTTTTTACATAGTACACAGAATCATATATTTACAAATTTGATAGAAACATCTGCACATTATTTTGCTATTATAAAAATGATTAAATTATTATTTCTGAATAACTTATTTCAAAGTACAACTTTAGAAATAAAAAACAAAAACTTTAAATATTTTTATTACCGCTCATTTTAAGTAATATTTAATAATAAATTATATTATCTGGTTTGATCACAGCTAAAAAAACCATATATACATTAATATTGTGTTATTGAGATCTACAGTGAAAGTATGAATGAAATTCATGTAGGTTTGTAGTAATAAATGTAACTGCATATTATATCCAATTTTTTCTTTGAGCTGATTTTTAATTCATAAGAAAACATTTTTTTTTATAATTATAAAGGATATTTAATTTTCTTACTATTATTACACACACGTTTACAACTCTTCCGTCCCGTTCGCGGGCTGCTCGTATAATTATTTTTGTCTTACTATCGAAAAACCGGAGGTGATAATAAGGCGTTGATTTTTGCTATACTGCGGCAAATGGATATAACAACGCCCTAAGTCGAGTTTTGTGTACGAAGAGCATAGCAATTCTCTTAGTTTAAAGTAGTTTTCTTCAGTCAGGAGTTGGTCTTCAGCCGCTGCATATCAACCCGCGTAGGGTGTGAAATGTGGAGTTAATGAAAAAAAAAACAATTGCTGTAAAAAGCGGAAACAAAATTTTTTTCTTATAATATCAAAAAATATTAGTGTAAAAATAATTAACTTAAATGGTTTACAGGGAGTTTTTGTTCTCGGGAAGTAGTGCGTGTGTGTATTATTTACGAATTACTTTGTATAAATATACAAAATTAAAGATAAATGCAATATTCTTTATATGATTATGACTATATATAAATGTGCTCATACAAAATACATAAATAAAGTGTATTTAAATATACGTTATTTATTATAAAAAATACGTAATTTTATAATAGTTTCAAGGAAAAATACTATTTATAATCGGAACTGAAAATCAATGATAAATTAATAAGTACAATTTTCAGCATAGTACAGCTGCCCAAGTATTTGTTACATGCTTAATAATATCATTTGAATGTTTATTATACAATAACAAAATTTCTTCTTTACAAAAATAGTCTAAAATACGAGCAACGAGAATAGACAATTTTGTTTCTTTATTTGAATTTTATGAATATTTTTGGATATGTATACAAAAATTCTTTGTCTCAAAAGGAGACTAATCTTTAAATCGCTTTTAAATAAACTTTAACACATATCGATTTATACAAACAGAAAAAAAATACTATATCTTTATTTTGGACTGATATAAATTATTCTGATCATTTGGCGTTTTGACGCACGAAACCATTGCAATTATTATTTAACATTCTGAGAAGATAATTCGAATATCACTACAGTCAAAAGTGTTTACAAGATCATATTACAGTATATTACGATATAAGTGCGTTATGGTGGTTATTAGACACGAGGCGGATTTTCAGCCCGAGCCGACGGGCGCAATAGCGTCAACTGTGTTAAATACGCACTTATATCGTATAGATAATCTCATAACTCAACCATTAAACTGTGATGCACACTGTTACTTTCCCGCCGTTTTAATCTAAGTTCGAAATTTATGAGCTGCGATGCTACCGGTGAAGTTAATTCCATTTTACGACCAAGTGTGTTGAGAATTTCTTTATAAAATATCATGAGAATACATGGCTTGGCTTAGATACTATTACTAAACAAGTATATTGTACTATTCTATCACATAGACATATTCAAATGCATACTATTTATACAATAAACACAAGTATGTTTATTATTTTTAATCCTAAATACCACAGATAAGTGTTGACTAAGCCGGCAAACATAACCATAACTAAATTTAATTGGAGGATGATTAGTAGGTAATAGTGTAAAAATTAACATATTACTACTTCCCAATACATTTAATTATTGAAAATTGAAAAATACGTAATGTAACATTGCGAGAATTTGTATACCTTCGTAAGGTTAATGTTTGTCAACTTGTTCATCAAAACCTTGGCCGATAATAACATAGTTGGTAATTCTAACGCAACACAGAATACATTGAATACTACTAGCTGTCTTATAGAACTAAAATCTCCTTTAAATCTATTTTAACTATACGGACTGATTGTCTCTTTCATTCAAATAGAAAATAGTTCAGAAGACGAAGACAAAACATAAGTTTTGTGGCAGAAAAGAGATTTTCTTATGATGTGAATAAGGCTACATAAACCTGATTGGTTATGTAAAGTTATTTTTGATTTCAAACAAATTCTATAGGAATTAAATTTATTTCGGAATGCCCGGGCGTAAGATTATCTATTATAGGTTTATATAAATTAATTTCTCAATAACAATTCATTAGTTTAGTAACTGCCTGGAAAATTAATTCTCTGAACTGGAAATTTAAAAAAATGTCTACATGCATTTGGTCGTTTATTACAAACACTGCGTTTACCCACACGTAATGAAACAGGCAAAAAATATTTTTTCAGTATTTCTTTACCAATGTTGTATTAGAAAGAAAAAGTTTCTGGATCGCGATATTTTCATAAATATGGCCTCGATTGAAGATCGGAATTGTTTGTGTCTCTTTTTTTTTGTTTGTTTTTAGTTATGGACCTAACAAACAGAACAGTCAGTTGTTGTCGTTGATAAAAGAAAAATTCAACATATATTTAATATATAGTTTAACGTAAGCGATCACATCAGAGAGCATGACTGGTCCCTGACCGTGGTAATTACTATAACAAAAAAAAATTTTTGTAGACCCTGATCAAATATATAATTCTAGTGAATAATTTGGCGGGAAGCAACTTAAATAACCATAGACAATGAAGCTTGCACAGTAAACAGTTTTTAAGTAAAGTTGTTACCTACTGCGCAAGTCACATGCTATTAAAATTGCTAGTATCTACTTTATTATAGAAAAGTATTTATAGAATACCTCCAATGTTTCCAAAAAGAGAACACTGTGCAATATAGTTTTTAAACTTTTCATAAATATTGAAGAACTAGAAAATATGTAAAGTACATATCCAAATTTTTAGAATATCACGAGTACCATTAGGTATAGGTATAGTGTGTGAAAGATATTTTTATTTTGTAAAGTAGGTATTTGTTATTTAATGTATTATATAAATAATTATATCAATTTATTTTATCTAAATCTGTTGCCAATACTGAAGTATCTAGTTATGTATTTTGTACCTACTATCTAGTACAATTCACTGAACTCATTTTATATTTCCATTCATGCAAAAATTGTTCAGTTTTATGAATAGTAATTAATGAGTTTCAGAATAAACTTTTCAAAATACATAAGCCTCTGCAAAATCTACCGTTATGACAACTAAATATAGATTTTGCCATATTTTATAAATTTCATAACTATATTTAACTTCAAAATAACATATGTTACCATACATGTATGTATAGAACATGGTTTGGTCGTGTCTATGCCTGCACAGGTGTTTCCACTAACGTAAAAATACGCGTCACATACGCAATATTTACCTATGCGTATCTATATCGCATACGTGCTGGTGGAAGAGTGGGGTAATACCTAAATATTTAGCTGGACTCTGTGCCACTTGAGGATTTGTCGGATATGACGTCAGGTGTCCGGGGCGGGGACTGCTTTGGAGAGGATTTGGTCGGCAGGTGATAAGACATTTGCATGTGAAGAGTGTCTCGGGCTTTTCTCGCGTTCTTGTATGTCAGAGAGTTGGCGCGCGGTTTGCGTCTAGAGAAATGTCTTTCTACCCATTTCAGCATCGCTAGCACGGAATCGGTTGATGAAAGTCGACGCTCCGCTGATGTCTTGATGATGGTTGATGATGCGATGCGGAATGTCGCGGCCATACCTTTTAATGCCTGAGAAAGACATAATAATAACATTCAATCACAAAAAGCAATATAAAATAGGCTTTTAAATATTATTAATTTATATCTATTTATTTATTCTAATGTATGCCTTTATTTGCATGTCACTCCTATATTCCACAATTATATCCGTTACACTAAGGTTGCCTTGAAATATGCTTTTAGCAATAAGGCGGTCTTATTGTATATATACAGATCTATAGATAAATGTTAAAATTCCTGTTTATATAAAAATTATTACTTACCAACATGGCGTCTTCGTCCGTAACGTCATCGCCCGCATAGATCACTCTAATTCTTTCACTCCAGTCCAAACCGAAGGCTGTCCTTAGTATGTAAATGGAAGCTCGACCTGTCGACAGTTAGGTAATATTAAATGACATTATATGATTATTTGTTTATTATTGTATAATGAAATAAATTTTAACAGTTACTGATAACAATAAGAGATATAAGCAAAACAAAGTCTATGTTTTGTACCTACTAATAATAAATATATGTAATTTATTATTGGGCTAACAACCCCACATGATTATTCTGGATCGACAACTGTTTGTTATAGTTGGGGAAGCATGATGATGCACGTGATCGCATATGTATACCATCGATCTTTTTTTTTACAATCACTTTAATTACATGCTATTTCTACACGAATAGTAAGAAACAGCATATAGGTACTCAGCCAAATCGCCCCGTACAACTGAAACATTAGATGAATTTTTACAGGCTACGTCAGGTTAACTGGCTTATAGTAATGTTCTCCATCCGGTTTTCTCTGGAAACCATCGGGATAATTTCTTGGTAAGTTTGCCACGGTGGAGACTGAGTGACTAACTGGTGCGGTCGGGTATATCACTCCATTGTCATTCATTAATATATAATATATATAGGTATATATATATATTTTTTTTTTCAAGAATCTTTATTAGTTTGCCTCCTCGTGTTATAAAAAATATATATAAGATAACCCTTTTTTCTTTCTCGGATGACAGCATTCTGTAAGATTAATTATCAGATTCTTAGAGTACCTATATTTTTTGCAAATCTTATTTAATATCTACCTTTATCCCATTCAACAGGAGGGCGCGCCTCGAGGGCACAATGTGCCGGCGCAGGAGTAAAGCCGGCAGCTGCGATAAGTTTCCTTGCCTGGGCCTCGAGTGCCGGCCTTTTGGCCAGCGGCGTCTCGCGAAAGTGGAATGTCAGGAGTGCTCCCTTATTCTCAACCCATGCTCCATCTTTACATACCTGGAAATATTCATTATAAGTGCTAACGCTGATGTGGAAATATTGTTAGAGAGAGGGATGAAAATTCCCGTTGATGTCTTTGAGGTTTTCTGCGGAAATAACGTTGTCTTATCCAATAGGACTTTGTTTAAACTTGCTCGCGCTATATCACTGCGTATATATTTAATATTAGGAAGAGGAAATGATATGGGACTATTGTTTACATTGCCAGCAATGCACCTAGTAAGGACGAACTCAGCACGGGAGAACCTTCTAGATTCCTTAATCGCAAATGCTGAAATGATCTGATGATATCCTCATCCTTTAATCCTTCACTTTCAGTGCCCGCGGGAATTTCTATTCCATCATCGACCGTTATAAATAAGTTAAACTGTGTACTCCGTTCTCACTGAAGCGTGAGATTTGGCAGTGAAATTTTTAAGTACTATTATTCAATATCTAGTTGCAAGGTCAAGGCACTGCGTTAGTCTGACGAGTGTCTTGTCTTTTTGCAGGCCACTTGCCACCAACAATGAATGGTTCTTTGTAAAAAAAAAAACTCTAAATATTTCAATGATTGATTCGTTTAGAGAATTTTTTCCAGAAGGTTTATATATGAGTGTAGTACATACATATCTACATAGTACAACTTCCGTTACATGTATTATACATGAGAACGAAGTATTAAGTTATAATTACAATAATAATCTTGAACAGTTTACACAGTGCCATCTAGTCCCAAGCCAAGCCTAGCTTGTGTTTTGTGTACTAGACACTACCTCGTTTTGTGTACTAGATAGAAATAGTTATATACATTTTTTTGTAAATATTATACATACATAACATAAATAAAAATACTCAGGCAAATGTAAACAATCAGACTTATGACTGCTAATGTTTGCATCCTGCGAGTAACCGAACTTACGAGCATCGGAAGTAAGGCGGTGTGCTAAACCCTCGAGGCCGTCAATTAATGTCTCACCTGTTCTTGAAGGGACTTCAACAGTTCAACAACTTTGTCCTGTAGCTCCATTGGCATGGGGTGCACGAATTTACTGCCATCAGGGTGCAGGATCTCCAGCCCGTGGTTTCCTGCGTAAGTAATGCCTTCAATGCCGACCTGTGCCAATCGAAATGAGGCCTTATTATTTATTAAAACTTAAATGCACAAATAAGAGTGCATATAGGGGAGTTAAATAACAACTTGTGGCACATTATTATTGACAAATAAAAACTTTATTATTAATTTTGAATAATCATTAAGCTTAAGTTATAAAATTATAGGCTAAGTATTTTGGTTCTTCTTTTATACCGTAGGTATTTTATTGGTCATTCAACCCTTTGGATACAAACTAAACTTTCCTAAACTCATGACTATGAGTATGATTGCTACTCTTTCAGGCCACATCGATCATGAAAATTGACCATACCTGTGATAAAATTAATGATATTAAGCATTTAGGAAAAGAGAACATAGGCTACATTTGTTCATGGTCATGCTGATAAAATCACCAGCACAAATTAGTTCATTATAATTGTTTATATACTACATAATGTCTTATCAGTTAAAATTAATCTTATACGCATTTAGAAATATATAACCGCTTAAAAGTCAGCATTTTCAAATGTTTTCAAATCCAAAATTCATGTAGGTCTATTAGAGACTCTTATGATATGTCAAATCTACCGTCAGTTCGGAATGATTTCGAGATGAGTAGAACTGACAAGAAACTCAGCTCGTATTCTTATTAAATAAATGTTGTATATTTAGAATCACTCTTAAACATAGGACAACATAGCTAGGCTCGGAAGACATAGTAAAATGGCTGATGTTATTAAGAGGATGGCGCAGTTAAAATTGCAGTGGGCAGGACCACGGGGTTGGAAAAGATCAGTAGGTGATCACAGATGAGGTGGAAAGATGACATAATTACTGTGGCAGGCCATAACTGGATATCAATTGTACCAAATAGTATAAAATGGAGAAGCTTGAAGGAGGCCTACACCAAAAAATTGGTTGATTAAGGCTTAAAGAGAAGATGCTAAAACTAAAAACAAAATCAGAATTACACGGCTAAATGAATCTTACCGAAGTTCGACATGCGATTAGGTTAGGTAGAAAGGTTTTTTCGATACTATCCTATAATTGCTGTTTGCTCAAAGTTTATGATCTGAGATGGCATATCGAAGTCGATTACGTGTCAGTATTATCAACCAGGAACAATAATTAAATGCTTTATTTATTATACTTTTAGGCTATCTCGTTTCAGAGGTCAACGCTGCGACGTGTTGTCGGTGCTTTTACGCCTATGGTCGTACCCTCTCCCTATATAAATCTATGGTTTTTTATGGACAATTAACATAATAATAATAATCTCAGGACAATTCACACAGAGTCATCTAGACCCAAGTTAAGCTAGCTAGAGCTTGTGTTATGGGTTAGTACCCATAACACAAGCTCAAGATAACTGATACATATACATAGATTTTTTTTGTAAATACATACATATTATACATAGAAAACACCCAGACCGATACAAACAATCATACTCATGAATACAAATGTTTGTGCCGTGCGAGGAATCGAACCCGCGACCATCGGTCGTAATGCGGTGTGCTTGATCGCTAGACCACCGAGGTCGTCAACAACGTCGTCAACATAAAACATTTGTATTTGAAATTACTAATTTTCTTGCATTTAAAAAAGGCACAAAGAAGAAGAAGAACAGTTATACATATAAGTATATCATATAGAGAATTGTTCAAGGTATTCTAAGAAAAGATATCGCCCGTACGTCGAACGCAGCCAAGTTTCGTAGTATAGAAATTGTTTATATGTGCCTTGCGCAATCAGAGAAATTCGAAACTAATTGGTGTATGCTTTCAACACTATGACAAAACCCAAATACCCAATGGTCCAAATAACCCGCCGATTAAACTATAATTTCAACCAACTTAATAAAAGAGAACTTTTTTAATTCAGCTACGTACTTTTTTTGTTAGAACTTCTTCGGTTGTCTAGCATATTTAGCACACCGAATTACTTTAGAAGGTCGCGGTTTCGATTCCCGACAGAGTATAAAAATTTGTACTCATTAGTGCGATTGTTTGTTTTGCTCTGGGTGTTTCCCTAAGCATACTATTTCTATTAGTTGCTTAGTACGCATAAATCTTAGCTTGGGACTAGATAGCGTTGTGTGATTTGTTAATCAAGGAACCAAATCTCAAATAATTATATGTTAACTAAAAGAAAAAAGTCTTAGGTTATACCTCTTTTTCTAACAGGTAGTTTGACTATGTAAACCATAATAGGTATTTCCTGTCATTAAATATTTTGCCAGTTAAGTACCTAGTTGATGTTATTGGACTAAATAGATTGATCAAACATTACGTAATATGTAAATGATAGCACCAAACACGGTTAGCATGACACGAGCATGCCACAATACCTAAAGTACATTGAGTGTACACTGTACACTCAATAATAAATATTTTTGTTGGAGCATAGATAAGAAGTTAAAGTTCATATGATAGCAATTGTTATTGTGTGCTATTAAGGTTTCATTCAGTGTTATCCAATAATCACGAGTTGCTGATATAAGATTAAAGTTTATGTACACATCGAGAGCAGTCATGACGGATTTTATAGCTCATTACAATGTTACTGTCGAGTCATCACAATGACTTAATCATTACAATGCCTAATAACAATAATTAGTCGTATTGTTACAATTATATAACCGACGCGTTGAACTGGAAATTGGAAGAAGTTGGGACACAACGAGTTATGTTGTAAACAATCTATATATGTATATGTTTCTAGATGTCTTAAGATGTTTTCCTCTTATAAGATGAAGTCTATTATAAAATTTTAATTTCAACCCCCATATAAAAAGAAACTGTTGTAGATAAGGCGAGATTCAATCGTTTGAATTAAAAAAAAACCGCATCAATACCTGTCCATTTCTTTACGAGCTACGATACCCTTACAGTTATAAAGATGTCTCAAAATTATAACACGCCTACGCTTTTTGTGTGGAGAATTAAAAATACTACCCTGTTACAAAGTAGCCTGGACATTTGCATTTTATATTATTAGGAGCGGTCTATGCCCTATGCTAGGATGATAAGTGGTTGTTATGACGATTTGATGTCTCGAATACTATTATCAAAATTCTTGGCATACAATAACTGCTCTATATACTATTCCACACTAATATTATAACACGAAAATGTCTGACGGCCTCTTGTATTTTCACTACAAAATTGCTAAAATGATCTTATTAAAATTTGATATGACGATAGATCATCAGAACAATTATTGGCTATCTTTTATATGAATAACAGAATACTTTTTGAAGGGGTTAAAATAAGGGATGTAACAACAAGTATTCCGTATGCAAAAGTATACCTATTTATGTTGTTTGCTTATTTGTTGTCACGCCTTCATGGCATCATCAATCATCATGAAATTTGGTATATATGTAGCATTTATGTTGTAGAAGGACATAGCCTATTTTTTGTCGCGATCGATAAATTACGTGGATGAAGTTGCAGCCAGAAGCTAATACTTCAATTATTCAGTATTGTTGCTGTTGTTCTTAAAGGAATAATAGTAGAGAAATTAATACCTTTCGCTTCCCATAGACTACAGATTTCTAATAGATCTGTATCTATAGCATGATAATATGTGTAGGTACATTATACAGTTTCTGTTGAAGCTAGTGCCATCAATCTCTCGCAATATCTACACACATAGGTCCATTAATTTGTCCACATCGACTCTCAATCATACCGACTGACAATTTACTTTGATTAATTACAATCATTGACTGATTGTTTAAAGGACACACGCGCTCTTCTGACATCTGATCTGACGACAACTACTGATACGCTTCTGATACTAATAACAATTTATATAATACTAGTTGATCACCTATCTTCGTCTGCACAACTTTCATCCTATATCTTCCCCTTTTCCTTGTAATAATCGTGATTTGGTTGTTACCTTTTTACGTGTGTAATTACATTCAATTTGACATAGAGATAGATAGCGCAGAGGAAATAGCGGGTAAAATCTAGTAATTAATAAATAGCGTAATTATCTAAAGCCATTACTAAAAGAAAATATTATATATCATAATTTCATTTCTGAAAACTACAATTTCAGTTGAAATTACAACTATCAAATTATTCATACAAACTAACAAACCTACTGATTTTAATCTATTGTAATTGATAATTGTTAGGATCTGTGCTACATAGACTATGTAAGCCCATATCTTGTTTCACCCACTTTCAACACGCATCTGTTTTACTTAAAATTGTTACACTGACATTTGCTTACTAAAATAATACAATTTATCGATACTGTTTTCCTTGTAATGCGAGACGGGTAACGGATACTAAGATACATTTTTATTACCTACTCGTTTTGGTAGTTAATACGCGAAGATAGGATAAAGTGTGATAAAATATATACAATGTGCAAGAAATTAGAAGAAGATTTTGTTGATTTAAATGCATGTTTACATGATTCGGCATAAAAAGTATATAGTACTCGTATCAAATAGTCTGTACTCTATTCGAGTCTGCTCTGTACAAGAGAATTAGGAGTTATGAAAAAATTTTGAGCAAATACGTATCTAAAACAAAAAACTAAACAAGTATAATATAAAAGATTGTATGAAAAGATTGTAAAGAATGTATGAAAAATAAAACATTTAAGAATCAAAATGTCAACAGCAAACACTAGAATGGAACAAAAATTACTTCCAAAATTGTAAAGCAATTTCAAACGGAACATTACAATACGAAGTTACAATACACAGAAATACTTTGTTACTAACCTAATTGTGTGTACCTACTGTTCCATAGAAATTTAATGTTTTTGTGCTACTGATTAAAGTTTTATTGCTTATAAATTTGATATATACAGATTGAGATGACCATTGACTTTCACATTTGACAGCTTCGCTACTGTGATGTCATAGACACGAGACCACTGTCCAGGGTGACGAAATTTGTAGATGTTATTACATACTTCGCCGAAAGATAGGAAAGCAAGAGGTCAGAGAGCATCAATGTATCATTGCTACAAGTTCTGGATTGTCGTCCTAGTCATGTTGATTTATGTAACTGTAGTCCCGATTAGATTATTCGATAGGCCAATTTAGAAGATAAAGTCGCCTTGGATAAGTTACACGGAGTTATTTGCTACTGGATATTAATTATAGATATTGGTCTACTAATAATAGGTATGGGTCTACTATTCATAGGTATTAATATACTCATGAACAGACTTAAGTAATATTGGAGACAGACTTCGTACAAAGTCGTCTGCCTGTGTACTTGTGTTACCAATTTCAGTCTCTTTGTTCGGTTGGAGAGTGACATGGTAATTAAATGCATGAGGGATAGATACTCTGGGAATTGTATGATGATGTAATGTATTTGGGGCTCTTCATGTATAGCTCATACATCATAAGCGATTATTTATCCTCACTAATCACTTTCTCAATCCATTTTCATCCCACGACTGGATACGAGTATGTCGTAAGATAAGATTCCAGGGGATCAAGTCTATTATTATCAACCTGGCCAGCTGGCTTGTTATATGGCTTTATTTAATATTTTCTTTCTCTTATTGCTCTATACAAGTATGATAAGCTTTTCCTACAGAAACTTACACTACAATACCGAAAATTTACTACACTATTTTTAAGAGTTTTAATTTCGAATTTGCTTGTACCATGCAAAAGAAATTGTAAATACAGCTATAATTTACGCGAAAGCCAGAAACAAACTTACCATATTCTTCACATTATCAACGTTTCGTCCAGATATAACGGCTATGTAAACATCAGACATGTTCGATAGCCTTTGCAGCGTGTGCTTGGTCTCCAGAGGCAGGGTAGCAAGGTCCGGATGTGGTGCGATGGGCGCCAACGTACCGTCGTAATCCAGCATAAGCGCCAGTTTCTGCGTGTACCCTATATATCTGTAAACAAAAAGAATTTCATTTTATATTTCATCAACAAACTAAATTAGTCAAATGATAATTTTGAATCGTGATTCTTTAAGGTACTATTATTATATTATTTTCTGAATTTATCCATTAAGAAAAACATCAAATCTTTCTTCTGTATAATATTATATTTTTCAAGATGTCGTAGGTGGCAAAACACATTAGTGCAAAGGACGTAAAGCATGACAGAAAAGTCTACATTCAAGCACTTGGGCACTTTACGAAGAGGGACTGTCTCTCTTTATAAAGCGTCCAAGTGCTTAAATGCTAGTGTGGGATATAGCTTATGTTGAATACATGAGACTTTTCTTTCGTGCTTGCAGTGGGATTATAATTTTTTGCCAAGAATTTTATAGAGCATTCTGTATAAACAGAATGCTCTATAAAATTCTTAAATTCCATGAGCTCATGAACTCATGAATATGCTTTCTATAATATTCCAGAATAAATCGAACTAATAGCAGCTTGATTCAAATACTGATTACGAACACGCGAAGGAACCAAGCGGTTCAGTCGCTTTTAAATGTAATTTATTATGAGAATGGATGCACCTGAGGACTAATATAGCCACGGGTTACAGGTAGTATAAAATAAAGGAGGAAAACTATACTTACTTGGACAGATATTCATCAAAGTCATCTATAGTGACCGGCTGCATCGAGGTGGCTCCGATATCATCAGCTTCCTCCTCCAGGGAGTCCATAGCTTTCAAGAAAGACTTCATCCAACTATCCACGTCGTTTAGTTGTTCCCGCCGCCTCAGGTTGTTCATTCGAACTGTTCTCTCATCTTCCGGCATGATCAGTGCTCTGTAAGAAGTTTCCTCGTATAGTTATTACTAAGGACGCCGCTAGTGTGAGATAGAGCCTATATTAAACGCCGTTTGAAATCATTTTTTGCAATTGTTAACAATGGTACACATTTTATAAATGAGTGTTTATTGTAATAATACATTTAATAATATTACTATAATTTATTGTAGAAGTGTTCCAGTAGTAGTGGTGATAGTGCATATCGCAAAAAAGCCTATCTATAAATACAATTCTAATAAAAAAAAACTTAAGCAATTAATTAATGATAAAGTCTGAAAAAAATACGTTAAGTTATAAGAGTGTATATTTATCGTTGTATCATTATGTAAGGTAGGTCATTTACGTGACTGCCCAATATAGAAAAAAAGTATTTTATTTAATAAAAACAACGTTTGAAGTTATTTTCGAATGGTATCATTGGTCATGACATCAACATGAAATCAAATCAAAAATCAAGTAGGAATTTATTCAAGTAGGACTTTTTAGTCGTATTTATTTTGATACTCAAGTAACTATTAATTTATATATGTCAACATTGCTATGTGGCTGTATATTTTTATACGAAATTTCTAAAAATGTAATTCTGAACAATATTTATTTAAAAGAGCAACACGTAAATTTCTTTCTCGTTCTTCTTGTAATGAGTCTGCGTTCAAATGAGGGTAGAATAAAAAATATGACTATTCAAGTGCTTATATTAAATTTATTTGAATAAAGATTATTTCTATTTCATACTTATTTGAAGTTGTTTAAGAATAAAATTACCTGTGTATAACTTCAGCTGCATCGTCCAGTTCGTAAGGGTTGCAGATAAGGGCTTCGTGCATCATCTCTCCCGCCCCAGCGAAGGGTGAAACTATCAACACACCGGGTGGGGTGTTAATCTGACATGCGACGAACTCTTTGGCGACCAAGTTCATACCATCACGCAGAGGTGTGACCAGAGCCACGGCAGCATCACGGTAAAAAGCTGCCAGCTCGTCTTGTCCGACACAGCCGTAAATATACCTGCAATTGAGGTAAATTTGGCTCACTATACTCCCAATCTATCTATACATATCATAATATTAATATTTGTATCACTGAAAACTTTGGACCCCTCTTTACGTAAATTGCGCGGAAGAAGGAGTATGAAATTCTCTCTTGATCATGAATCTTACAGTTTACATAGGAGTGCAGAAGGATAATATTATATTAAAAATATGCAAAAATGTATATAAAAATAAAAATACATTATACATACAACCATGTGTTTGACACACACGACGTATCTTTGAAAATAAAACTTTAATAATGTTCAAACATAATTTACATTAATTATGGTCGAAATTCGACTACTGGGCGACTAATAATGCGCCACCAAGCAAAACAGCCTACAGAGAATTGCTTGTCTGATTATTACAGGAGCCATGAGCACCACGTCGGGAGCAGCTCTAGACGCATTATTGGACTTGACGCCCCTTCCTTTATTTATACAGGAAAAGGCGAAAGCTAATATGCTCAGAATAAGTTCCCAAAGGAGGATATCTTGGCATTCCCTGGCCATAAAAACTATACAAGACTCGATAATGAGTGATCCTATTCTGGGAATGCCTGAAGACAACTTGGCACCAGAGTGTAACTTTGTACAATATTACAAAATCGAAATATCTGGAAGAGACGAATGGCAAAATAACCATACACCGACTCACTCAGAGCATAACCTAGTTTGGTTTACAGACGGGTCCAAATTAGGAGATGATGTAAAAACCCAAAATCTGCAACTATATAGGCTTAGGAAAATACGTCTCAATCTTTCAGGCAGAGACTTACGCCTTAATTAGATGTCTGGAAGTAATCCTAAGCATCAACTACTTCAATCAGAACATATACATTTATTCGGACAGTCAAGCTGCTCTACTAGCACTTAACTCGTACGAAATCCGTTCTAAACTTATTAGAAACTGTATCCTGCTACTAAATGAAGTAGGAAGCAGAAATAATATTATACTGAGTTGGGTCCACGGGCATTCAAATATTGAAGGCAATGAGAATGCCGACCATCTGGCAAAGTTAGGGGCAAAAACCGTCCAACTGGGCCCCAAACCCTTCTGTGGTGTGCCTCGTTGCCTAAAACTGGGACATCTCAAATTAATAACCAAACGAGAAATATTGAAGGCAATGAGAATGCCGACCATCTGGCAAAGTTAGGGGCAAAAACCGTCCAACTGGGCCCCAAACCCTTCTGTGGTATGCCTCGTTGCCTAAAACTGGGACATCTCAAATTAATAACCAAACGAGAAGCACTGAATCACTGGCAAGAAATGCCAGGATTAACACATTCAAAAGACCTAATATCGGGCTTCTCCAACATATACTCCAATAGACTACTGCTATTGAGTAAAAACAACATATGCATGATGACTAGGGCCCTCACAGGACACTGCAAATTAAACAAGCATATGGCTAAACTAGGCCTATGCACGACAAGTATCTGCAGATTCTGCCAAACTGAAGAAGAAACGCCGCTTCACATCCTATGTGGTTGTAGCCCACTCATGCGTAAACGAAATATCTCCTTTGGAAAGTTTACACTCTTTCCCGAGGAGATAAAAACGATCGCTCCTAAGAATATCCTTCAATTCTTGTCCCTGACGGGTCTAGGTAGCGAACTCTGAAAAGGGCGAGCACAATAGATCTATGTAGGTCGTAGTGACGTAGTGCTACAGGTGCTACACATCTGACAATACCCCAAACAACCCAATAAAAAAAAAAAATAATGCGTATAATAAATTGTAACTCTATTGTATATTCTAATTGTAGTAGATATAAGACTATTCTTGGAGGAATTGAAAAAATAACAAAACCTTTACTTAAATTTTAGTGACACGTATAATTACACTACACAATACAATTCAAATTCAAAATTCAAAATTCAAAAATCATTTATTCATGTAGGACATTTTAGCCGCTTATGAACGTCAAATTTTTACATTATAATTTTATTTTTTCCTTACCATCCAGTTCGGTATATAGATCCAATTGAGAAGAACTGGCAAGAAAATCAATTGAATTACTTTTTTTTTTAAAGCCAGTTTATTTACAATGTATTTTTATATAGGTGTCTATGTCTAACATTAAATGAAAATTCAGTGCATGAACAACTATTGACATGCGCACTCGTCATTCAAGTAATCGTTTAGTGAGTAATAGGCTTTGCTCAGTAAATATGATTTAACAGATGTTTTGAATTTATTTAAGGGTAATTCCAACATATCCTTTGGTATCTTATTGTAAATTTTTATACCTATTCCCATAAAAGACCTATTAACTTTTTCTAAACGATACTTGGGGACAGCAAGTTTGTCTTTAAATCTAGTATTAATATTATGAATATTGCTGTTTTATATTATTGCAATAATTACTCATAAAATAAACAATACGTAGGTTTCTTATGTAATTTATTAATTACTAGCTGTACCCGCGACTTCGTCCGCGTAAATAATGAAAAAATATTTAACTCAATTAACACAATATAAGTCAAATAAATAAGTTTCATCATTTTAGCTTAAAAAATGATAAAAAATAAAAATAAATATTTAATCAATAGGCTAAAAAATAAATTTCAAGCTTCTAGCTTTAAACATGACGATACATCTATATGACCTTGGATCTACCCTTTCAATCCTCTTGCAACCCTTTTTCACATTAAAAAGTAACCTATGTCCTTTCTCAGGATCTAGTCTATCTATGTCTGTTTCAAATTTCAATTTAAATCGGTTCAATATTTTTAGCGTGTAAGCGAGACAAACAGACAGACAAAGTTACTTTCACATTTATAATATCAGTAGGGTATTTAATAAACTAACTCTAAAAAGACAAAGAAAAAAGTTTAATCGTTCTAGCTTCCACAACCACACAAACAGCAAATTTCCACAATAACTTTCATTCCCTATTTTATTTTACTACCCCCCCTCCCCCTAAGAGTAAAAATTTTACAAACATTGAATGTCTAAAAATGAGTCTCAAACTTCTAGTTTTAAAAAATGACGATTCTTCCATACAGCGTACCGTTGCAACCCCCTTACAATCCTTTTTTCACATTCAAAAGTACCCTATATTCTTTGTCCGGGTGTAAACTAACTGTGTTTAAATTTTTTAAATTTCATTTAAATTTTTGTTTTGTTTTGGAGCGTAAGACTGACAGAAAGACAAACAGACTTACTTTCACAGTTATAACATTAGTGGGGTATTTAAAAATCTACCCCAAAAGAACCAATGAAAATAGTTTCATCGTTCTACTTTCAAAAATTACGAATTTACATAATAACTATCATCCCCTATTTTATTTTGCCCCCTTAAGGGTAATTTTTTTACAAACAATGAATGTCATATGTATTTATATTTAATCAACAGTCTCAACAATAAGTTTCAAGCTTCTAGCTTCAAAAATGTCGAATTTACATAAAAAATTGCATCCCCTATTTTATTTTACCCCCTTAAGGGTAATTTTTTACAAACATTGAATGTCATTTTTATTTATATTTAATCAACAGCCTCAAAAATAAGTTTCAAGCTTCTAGCTTCAAAAATGACGATTCTTCCATACAATCTTTCACCCCCCTTTTAACCCCTTACAACCCTTTTTTCGCATTAAAAAGTAGCCTATGTCCGTTCTCAGGGTCTAGACTATCTGTATACCAAATTTCATTCAAATCGGTTGAGTAGTTTTGGCGTGAAAGCGAGACAGACAGACAGAGTTACTTTCGCATTTATAATATTAGTTTTTGTCGCAGCACAAAAATATATTTTTATCGTTTCCCTACAAATAGTAATTTTACAGTATTAATCTACAAACCAACATTTTGTTTCTTACAATCAGCTAAATAATTTAAATAGTTTCATAATATATGACACAATGAAAATGTCATTTATTTTATAAAAAAGACAGTTAGTTTTTATTTTAGTGAAAAATAAGAAAATTCTATTTTGATACAACAACCATATATTTATTAATACCTATACTTTATTAACTTTGTGTTAATGCTTTTTAAATAAACACCCACACATTATTTCTGTATAACCTACAAAAATGGGTAAATAATTTAATTTCGTATAGTGCCACACCACAACATTCTTTAAAAAATGTAAATAATAAAATTTGAAGAAATTGTGATTGTTATTAAGTTTTTTTTTAATAAGTTCGTCAGAACAGAGAAACAACATTTGACATTTATTATTATTTGACATTTGACATTGACTTTAATTTTTGTAATTTATATTGTAAAACTTTAAGTTGGGCTAAACAGGACTTGTATCCAGAGCCGTAAAACAAATTAATAAAAAAAATGGCCAAATTTGTCTCGCAATCGGCCAATTTCAAGTTTAAAGAAAAAAACACATACACACGATATACGATTTTATCATAAAAAAGTGTCAAAAAACAATATTTTCGCTAAACGTCAACGTCGTGTTTCCGGCAAGATCTTTCGTTTTACATTATGTTATCTGTGGTTTTGTTCTCTGTGATGGATACCTTATTGGCGCATACGCACGCGATGTTTTGATTGGTTGTTAGCTAGTGAAATGAAAAGATGGCGAATGGCGCAAAACCACGCGAAGTGCTGATTTGTTGTTAGATAGTGAAATGAAAAGATGACGAATAAGTATTCAACCGCATAAAGATAACCTTGTATTTCCATTTTGAACCCCTTACAACCCTTTTTACGCATTAAAAAGTAGCCTATGTCCTTCCTCGGCGTCTAGACTATCTGCGTACTAAATTCCATTTAAATCGGTTCAGTAGTTTTGGCGTGAAAGCGAGACAGACAGACAGACAGACAGACAGACAGAGTTACTTTCGCATTTATAATATTAGTAAGGATATTTAATCAACAGTCTCAACAATAAGATTCAAGCTTCTAGCTTCAAAAATGACGTGTTTACATAAAAACTTGCAGCCCCTGTTTTATTTTACCCCCTTAAGGGTATTTTTTTTACAAACAATGAATGTCATGTATTTATATTTAATCAACAGTCTCAACAATAAGTTTAAGCTTCTAGCTTCAAAAATGACGAATTTACATAAAAACTTGCATCCCCTATTTTATTTTACCCCCTTAAGGGTAATTTTTTACAAACATTGAATGTCATTTTTATTTATATTTAATCAACAGTCTCAAAAATAAGTTTCAAGCTTCTAGCTTCAAAAATGACGATTCTTACATACAATCTTTCATCCCCCCTTTTAACCCCTTACAACCCTTTTTTCGCATTAAAAAGTAGCCTATGTCCGTTCTCAGGGTCTAGACTATCTGTATACCAAATTTCATTCAAATCGGTTCAGTAGTTTTGGCGTGAAAGCGAGACAGACAGACAGAGTTACTTTCACATTTATAATATTAGTTTTTGTCGCAGCACAAAAATATATTTTTATCGTTTCCGTACAAATAATAATTTTACAGTATTAATCTACAAACCAACATTTTGTTTCTTACAATCAGCTAAATAATTTAAATAGTTCCATAATATATGGCACAATGAAAAGGTCATTTATTTTATAAAAAAGACAGTTAGTTTTTATTTTAGTGAAAAATAAGAAAATTCTATTTTGATACAACAACCATATATTTATTAATACCTATACTTTATTAACTTTGTGTTAATGCTTTTTAAATAAACACCCACACATTATTTCTGTATAACCTACAAAAATGGGTAAATAATTTAATTTCGTATAGTGCCACACCACAACATTCTTTAAAAAATGTAAATAATAAAATTTGAAGAAATTGTGATTGTTATTAAGTTTTTTTTAATAAGTTCGTCAGAACAGAGAAACAACATTTGACATTTATTATTATTTGACATTTGACATTGACTTTAATTTTTGTAATTTATATTGTAAAACTTTAAGTTGGGCTAAACAGGACTTGTATCCAGAGCCGTAAAACAAATTAATAAAAAAAATGGCCAAATTTGTCTCGCAATCGGCCAATTTCAAGTTTAAAGAAAAAACACATACACACGATATACGATTTTATCATAAAAAAGTGTCAAAAAAAAAAATTTTCACTAAACGTCAACGTCATGTTTCCGGCAAGATCTTTCGTTTTACATTATGTTATCTGTGGTTTTGTTCTCTGTGATGGATACCTTATTGGCGCAAACGCACGCGATGAGTTGATTGGTTGTTAGCTAGTGAAATGAAAAGATGGCGAATGGCGCAAACGCACGCGATGTGTTGATTGGTTGTTAGCTAGTGAAATGAAAAGATGACGAATAAGGATTCAACCGCATAAAGATAACCTTGTATTTCCATTTTGAACCCCTTACAACCCTTTTTACGCATTAAAAAGTAGCCTATGTCCTTCCTCTGCGTCTAGACTATCTGCGTACTAAATTTCATTTAAATCGGTTCAGTAGTTTTGGCGTGAAAGCGAGACAGACAGACAGACAGACAGACAGACAGACAGAGTTACTTTCGCATTTATAATATTAGTAAGGATATAATATTAAACAGGCACTACGCATTAAGTGAGATTCCTTAAATGACCTTCCACGTTTGGGTTAATGACAGGAAAATAAACCATTCAAACTGTGATGTATTAAAACGTCAACACACGATACAATTTGGCTGCCATTTGAATGTTTGCCTTAGATTTTATGAAAAATAAAACACATGTAACTTCTCTATACAAATATTTATATTAATTAATGACAAACATGGCATAAAAATAGATTAAAAAAATACCTTAAGAAGTTAGGGTATACATTAAATTACCCACTCATTGAAACTAGTTTTGTTATTTCGTTTATCTACATATCACAGAAGAAAGCGGAAATGAAAACCCAACGTTACCCAACAACAAGAATTCTTTCAGATTCAATTTGTAACTTGATAAATATAACTCATATATTTATAAAGATAGAAAGTTGAAAATTAGTATGTATTTAAGTACTTTTCAAATGTCAATCTCGACAAATATATATGAGTTATGAATATTTGAAACTATTTTTTGGCTCTGGTTTAAGGTTGTCTGGTTAATGTTGGGCTTTTGAAGTTACGACAATTCTGCTATCTTCCGTAGATAAACTGTATCTCATCGCCATCCACGATACCGTACATTTTATACCAGACAATGTGGGAAATACAGTCCCTAGTCTAGTGCGTTAACACCAGTCAAACTGTATAGTGTGTTAACACCTTTACGAGCCGCTATGATCATTATTACGTTTGACGATTTTATCGCATAAAATAGCCATTAGATTCACGTTCGCTGTTAAACATAATTCTCGTTCCACTCAACAATGATCGTTAAATAATAATCTTCGGTTATTACCCACTCCGTCCTCATTTCTACGGTCTTTGTTTTAAATATGATGACAAAGAAATCTTTGATATGAATGTGGTATCTCACGTTAAGGGTTAAAAAGATCTTAAACTTAATTTATTGAGTTATCATGAAAATTTCTTCTTCAAAATTCAAATTTAGGCAGACGAGTAGAAAAGTCTAGTTAGCGTAAAAATTCTTACGCGAATTTTACTGACTTTTATAATCTCCGCGCATTGTATAAAAGGGATCTATTTATCCTGTGAAAACAAAATTTATATAGAAAATTTAAAGTATAAAATAACTCACCTAATAGGTGACCAATTGGGAGTAGTGAACCTTCCATTTATCCTTCCTACTAGTTGGTCCATTTCTTCTTTCAAATCTTGATACTCCTTCACGTCTGTTCTCGAAGGTACTGAGATTTGTAGTAAAACGACTGTCTCTATATGTTCCGGGTGTTTCTCAAGCAATCTTTCGAAGGCTTTGAGTCTGTGCACTAATCCTTTGGTATAATCAAGCCTATCAACACCTAGTATCACTTTTTGGTTTGTAGAGAGCACTGGTTTAGCATTTTGTGCCAGTTGGACGAATCTGTCGAAAGGTACTCCAATAGGCAAAGGTCTTACACAAATGGTACGACCGCCTAATTCAACTAGAAGATTTTTTCTATCCACACGGCAACCCAAATTTCTTTGGCAACAATCTATGAAGTTTAAGCAGTAATCTGTTATATGGAATCCGACCATGTCACAACCTGCAAAACGAAATTAGTTACTTCTCTGTTCCGTCGCCTAATTTAAAAATATTACATTGCAGTCAAAAAACTTACCAAGTATGCCTTGTAAAACTTCATCAGACCACGGGAACAGTCTAAAGATATCCCACGGTGGAAATGGTATGTGTAGGAAAAATGCAAGTTTACATTTAATATCATTCTCTTCAGCGCGCTATAAATGAAATTGTAATAGGTTAACTTTCATCGTTGTTAACGGAATTTGTTTTTCTATGTCTGCAAAAAATAAATAAATTAAAACGAACCTGCCTGATCCAATTAGCAGCTAACATCAAATGATAATCGTGTACCCATACGATCGGCGGAGAAGCGCCATTTTTTTCTTTATCATGTTTGAGTAGATTCAATGCATGTATTGTTTTATCTGCAAACTCCTCGTTGATTTTAATGTAAGCTTTCCAATGGTCAGCAATGAATGTAGCTCGGTCTGGCATCGAATGGAACAGGGGCCAGAAGGTACCATTGCAACATCCATTGTAGTAGCTATCAAAGAGGTTTGGTTCTGCACGAATAGGTACAATCTGTAAAATAAAATGTTATTATATGTAATATTAATACAATTCTGGATAGATGTTTGATTTATTTGGTCATGTGTTGTAATTTGTTAAAGCTTGTGTCTAAAGACTGAGACGAAATAATTGCTAACAGGGATAAGATTGCATCATGTCACTGGTATAGGTTTTATTAATCTTTTTATACTGGTATAGATTAACTCCTTTAAGAATATAGGTATATACGGCATTATCTTTTATTTCTATTATTTTGATTAATTTTCGTGACTACTCATTTATAATTAATACATTTGAGACAATAACATTCCCTATAACTACTTGTAACTCATTATTATGGTTATTATCATTAATTAAACATAATTATTTCATATTTATATTATAAACAATTAGATACAACATTCTGTATCATTTAATAGAACAATACTTCGAATGCATAATTGATTGCAATGCTTCTAAAATCTCACGTTTTTTCCTTTGTCTGTACATAAATATGTACAAACCATGGATTACTGTTTGTAGGTTTATTTTAAACTTTGTTTAATAAATATTTTAATTTTTTTATACATGTAACTTGTACGGAAATAAATTTATCGAAATTAGTGCAAATTATCTAGTTCAAAATGTCAAAAGTATTATGGTACTAGTGTTTCGACTATCTTTGATTTTAGTTGATATTTTAGAGCAACATATTCGCCATAATATTAAAATTGTATTCTCACATATTACATTATGGTTATTGCTAGATTTTCGCCGACTATGAAGCCTCGAACCACCTTTGAAACTTTTACAAGGAAAAAATGAACCGAAAATGTTGGAAAAAAATGTGAAATAATGTTGCTCTCACGCTGATTAAAAATTAGCAAGTAACATTAATTTTCATTTTTTTTTCTAACATTTTCGGAACGTTTTTTCCACTGTTCGCTTTCAACAGTTCGAACGTTTGTTCGAACTGTTGAAAGCGAATTGTGATTAATGAAGATTAATATAAATTATATATATATATTGATAAATATAATTGTGTTTAATTCCTTATGATTCTAATTTTATGATCTTCGTTCTATCCGTACATATACATTAAATTCGGTTCACCATTCCGTCATCATCAACCGTACCAATTAAAGTAATCTTTCAGTATTTTTTGGAAACGGTTCAATGCCCCTCAAATCACTGGTAACTGTATATGTATATATAGATATGTAATCTATTTTATAGAACTGGTTCAAACTGGTTCAATATACATATACATATTTGTATGATTTGATTCAAATCTACTGTAAAAACCGGTAAAATTTTGCTATACACGATACTAAAGCCAAGGACAATATCGAAGTAATGGTAATAGAATAGGCGACAAGTCAGTTAGTGGTGTGAAATTGGTTCTGATTTCACTACAGACGAGGTGATCTTAGACATCGATCCAGTGAGCTTCTCATCACTGCCTCGAATTTTCCTAATTTTAGTCTCGTTTTTGATAGCTGATATTTTTGTGATTTCTATTTATATTAACATTAACATGTATACTACAAAGAATAAGTAATTTATGGCTTATGACACTCTGGAATAAATTACCTTAAAAGAGTGAAATGTTTTTTAAATCAATGTAGTGATTGCAGAGTTTACTTCCTTTATTTTATTTCTTTAGATATTATTACTTTAGGTAAAATATACCAAAATAATTAAATACACGATAAATTGAAAATATACGTTGGTATATAAGAGACTGTAACAAATATTCTTTATGGCATTGTCCTAAAATCCGCGTAATATTTGCCTGGACCAGAATAGAATTGACCTTCGAATACAGAAGGTAAAAAGGTCAACGGGCCGATAATAAAATTTGTTAAAATGTTAATTATATAAACACCCTACCTAATTCCTTATATAAAAAAAATATTGTTATATTTCGAATTCGAAATTATTACGATGTACATTCCAGCGTCAATGAAGATATCGCACAGATACACCTTGAGATTGAGGTCAGGCGACGTCACTAAGATTATAAAAAAGAAACAATATTTGTATAAATCTTCGGAAGTACTATGGTTTTTAAAAAGTGTTTAAATACTATAAGTGGATGCATGGCCAAATATTATTTTATTTATTTATTCTCTATACATGGATATCATTACTTTTTTTTTTTTATTTATTTTACATACATATTGAAGAATAAGAATTTGTGATATTATAATTACAAGTAAGTACAAGTTGGGGCGTGTGTCGGGCAACCTCCTAGTATGTTCCTGCCATTGGGAGGCTTCCCCATCCTCGTGGATACGTCCGCGGGGAACGGTGGCCGAGCAATGGTTTGGTTCTGGTACGCCCTGGGCGGGATAGTAGTCGTTCCCTCGGGATACTGCTACTATGTCGGCCGATAGTCCGGCAAGTAGGGTATGGACAACCTCCATCGGCGTCCATCCGGAGGTGTCGGTCGTTCGGGAACTCCCAAGCCTCGGTTCAGCCGAGGACATTGGAGCCCCGAATAACCCGTTGAGCAGGGGGTGTGTGTCACTTCTGGCACATGCCCATGTACATATTCGTACATTCTGCTTGTACATATTGTGATGTCCAATGTTACATGTTGTATATAGTCTTGTGTTGTATCGTCGTCGTCGTAGTTCGTTCGAGGGTACTACGTTATGTCCCTCGATGACGTCGTCTTTGTGTTTGTCGCCGTCTGCGACGAAGTGTTGTCTCCTCCTCGTGCCCTCTACTAGTTAGAGGGACACGGTTGAGTGAGACCTGGTCGGGCCCAGTGGGTGCTTCACTGCGCAGCCGGGCAGGTACACTTATGTACCACCGACCGCAAACCGTAACCCTGACGCTAGGTGTTGATGTCATGTCTATCAGCCTAGTTAGTCAGGAACGGGGGCCTCGGCTTAACCGCCCGGGCCGTGAGGAGATCACCTCTATAAAAAATCCGTCCATTCCAAGGTCTTGCGTGCCGAGGGAGTGCCTAGAGGTGGCAGGGGCGTTAAACCTGTCGTTAGCGCACAACCCAGGAGTACCTGTCGCCCTCCCGGCGTATTAGACCGCAGACAGTAGCAGGGGGCAACGCTGTCTGTGCAACCTATCCCCCATACTCTTGGGAATAAAATGGATAAGATCAAAGCACAAAAACAGGTAGAGGTGGAGTTGGAATCGGTTGATTCCGACAGCAGTATGGCGTCCGCTCAATCAGAGCCAGGATCGCCGAATAAAGCGCAGCCTAAACAGCAAAGACCAGCGCGCAGAGGTAGAGGCAGACCCCCAACAACCGGGGAATATGTGGGATTGGCTAGTGCCAAAAGAGCGCTGGTCGAAGTCCAGCGACAAATGCTCCAAAACCGAGGCTGAAAAGGAGCTACTGGCGGAAACGAGGACGGCCAGGCTGAGCAAGGTGACATTAGAGGGACCCAACACCAACCCTAATGATGTGACAGTGGATGGCCTGAATAGGCAAGTTTTTAAAAATATTCAGGTGGTACTCAGCGTGGCCTCGAAGTCAAAGAACCTGAAGGGCACCTTCATTAATGCCCTCAAAGAGGCGGCAGCGTCCATCAGCGAAGCCGCCTCGGTGCTGGCCAAAAGAACGGCCAACGAAGAAAACCAACACCTCAAAGCCCAAAACTCCCGCCTTGAGGAGGAGGTAGAAGTTCTCCGCAAGCAGGTGGAGGACCTCAGGATGGAAGTCGCCCAGTTGAAAGTGGACAGCGAGCGGGCATCCCAAGCGTTGCAAAATCAGCCGCAACAAACAAATACAAGCGGGTCAGAAGACCTCAAACGTACAATCGCGGAAGAGGTCACGCGAGTCATGCAGCTGAGGTTCGACGCTTGGGAAGCGAGGCAGCCTTTCCCCAGACATGCCCCTGTAACACGCAAACATCGAGTGGCAGAGGTCGAAATATCCCCGCCAGCAATAGATGCCAAGACTCGTTCTGCTTCGCCGGAGCCAACTGCCCCTTCTTCTTCCGCAGTTGTAGCGGAGAACAACAAGACTAGGAAAATGAAGAAGGGGAAAAAGGCGGCCCAAACGAAGCCTGCCACCTCTCAAAAGCCGGAGCCGGCGCCTGCACCGGATAAATCCGCCGCCGCGGGAGACACATGGGCAACCGTGGTGAAAAGGCGTGGACGCATTACGGGACAACCACAGGCCAAGGCGGGTACCTCAGGCTCCCAGTCCAATCAGGCGGGTGGGACTCGGAAGAAGGGAGCTCCTTCTCCCAGTAAACTCCGGGCCCCTCGCTCTGCAGCGATTATCCTCGCTCTCCCTTCGGATGCGGAAGAGGCAGGTGCAAACTACTCCGACATCCTCAGGGAGGCAAAATCTAAAATAGATCTGCCCTCCTTGGGAATATCGGAGGTGCGGTTCAAGTCTGCCGCAACAGGGGCGAGGATCCTGGAGATCCCAGGCTCGGAGAGTGGGCAGAAAGCGGATGCGCTCGCGACGAGGCTCCGTGAAGTTCTGGTGGGCAACCCCGTACAGGTCTCCAGACCCATTAAATCGGCAGAAATGCGAATTATGGGCCTGGATGATTCTGTTACGATAGAGGACGTGGTAGACGCAGTCACCAGAGATGGAGAGTGTAAGCCTGAGGACGTGAAAACCGGAGAAATTCGAGTGAACGCCTCGGGCTTAGGCACCTGCTGGGTAAGGGCTCCCATCCTGGTGGTAAAGAAAATAACCACAGCAGCCCGTATCCGCATCGGCTGGATATCGGCCCCCGCCGAGCTCCTCAAGCAGAGGCCGCTGCGGTGTTACAAGTGCCTGCAGAACGGCCACGTAAGGACAAGGTGCCCGCACGAAGGGGACCGCAGTGGCCTCTGCTTTAGGTGTAGTAAGCCTGGCCACAAATCCGTCGGCTGTACAGCCACACCAAATTGCGCCATCTGCCGTGAGGCAGGCAGGCCGGCGGAACACTGGCTGGGAAGGAAAAGTTGCTCCCAGACCAGGCAAAAAACTAAGAAGGGGCCGGCACCAGCACCTCCCGCGACCGCCGCCACCGTAACTTCCAACAGTTACGACGTGTTGG